GGCCCTCTTCGTGAAAGTCGACCTTGGGGAGGGTTTTTTTTTTTTTCGGGGGAAAAATTTTTTTTTTGGTCCGGGTTTTCCCCTGGAAAACAAAAAAGGGGCAACAATTGGCCTTTCCAAGGCCAACCCTTGAGGGGGGGGGAAAGGCCCATTGCCTGGCAGTCGTCCCAGGGGGGGGGGCGGGGGCCAGGGGGTTTCTGTCCGAAACCCAAAGATTTTCCCGAACCCCCCCCCCCCCCCCCAGTTTCGGCGGGAACCCGGGCCAAACGAAAAAAAATTTTTTTTTTTTTTTGAAAAAATCCCCACCCTGAAACCCCCCATGTGATCCCCCCCCCCCCCCCCCCCACCCCCCTCTTTGTTTTTCCCAGCTGCGGCGCACCGTCAGCCGCGGCCAGCTGTCCGACGCCGACCAAGGGCAGATGCACTCTCCGGTCCCCATCTGTCACAGCATGGTCGTGGAGGAAGGGTCTAACATCCTTATCCTCAAGGGGACTCTCCGCCGAAGGGTTGGAACAGCCACGTGAGTGGAGTATGCTCGACCTCGTGTGCATGTGTGTTTGTGCTTTTATTATTAGCGTCGGCCGCGCGCTGAGCGGCTGACCAATGAAAAGACGTCAGTCATGGTGCTGTTGAGAACGCAAAATGGTGCTAAAGGCCGTGATGTGGGACCCGTGTGTGTGCGTTGTGTGCATGCGTTTGGGAACCGTCAGGAAGGTGGGCATTTAGGTGTGATAAAACTGTTTTTCGAAGCACGAGGAAGAACGGTCGGTGTATGTGTTTCCTCGTGCGTTGTAAAGCTGTTCTACATGTGTTGTATGTGCGTTTGTCTTTATTATTTTGGTGTGTGCGCGTGTGTGTGTTTCGTTATTAGCATCGACCGCGCTACCCGGCTAACCAATGAAAATACGTCAGTCTCGGTGCGGTTGAAAAACACAAAAACACACAATTCTTCTCGAGGCCAAAATCTGGGACCCTGTGACCAAGCGTCATGGAAGAGTGTGTGTGTGTGTGTTTTTTGTTTTTTACGACAAGCCGTGACGTCAGCTGCAGTATCCGTGACAATCTCGCAATTGCCTGCGTCTGTGCGCACGCGGTGTGGCTTCCTTGTGTGGTTTCGTGTGTTGCTATGAATCAATCCACCCTTAGTTGGTCTTGGTATTTAGTACAGTAGGATAAAAGAGTGCTCCTTTTAGAGAATTCTTTGTCGTTGGTGTCGGAAGAGGAGACGCGTTGTTTCCTGAGGATGCTTGCAAGACGAAGCGACAGAACAGAGCAATCGACAAGCAGGACACCCCTCTTGGAGGAGACGTAGTGTGAAGATCGCTCTATCCGAGGCTTGCGTGTTCTTTTTTTCTTTTTTTCTTGTCAATATATGACCCAGCGAATCCATCTCTATCTAAGAAATGAGTCTAAATAAGATAGATCAGCAATGAATCCATAACGTCAGCGAAAGTTTTGTTTTTCCGCGATTTCCCGAGCAGCGCATAGTGGTATCTCCGTGTGCATCTGTCTGTATGTTATGCTGGGAAGGTGCAGAAGGAAGGTGTTGGGTAGTTGTTGTTTTTTTTCGGGGGGGGTGTCAATGTACTACTGCTGTCATGGGCGCCCCCACCAGGTTCCGGTCGTCTAAGGGAGCAAAGGTCATCGGGGTGACTTGACTGACCATCATCGTAAAATAGGAAGAGAAGAAAAAGCTAATGCATGGGTATAAATGAACTCGACGTGGTCCACAAACTACATGTAGATGAACCGCTTTGTGCATGTCCACGTGCTGCATAGACATGAAACGACTTCGTACAGTGATTTCACTTGTTCTACCCCGCTAAGTGCATCGTAGTGCTACCACGGCAAATCTTCTATTTTACTTTCTGCTGCTGCTGCCGCTGTCGCTGTCGCTGTCGCTGTCGCTGTCGCTGTCGCTGTCGCTGTCGCTGTCGCTGTCGCTGTCGCTGTCGCTGCCCCTGCCCCTGCCCCTGCCCCTGCCGCTGTACCCGAAACGCCGACTCTTGTTGTTCGCCGTGTTGCTGCAGCTTGTCCTCGCTCAAGGAGGAGAAGGCGGTCACCATCATTCGCGGCGTGGGGGGCCCCGTGGAATTTACGGAGGGGTCGGTGGTGTTCATCATGCCGGCCGTCCTCATGGCAAGGGCCTCCGCGGCCCACCAGATGCTGATGCGCGAGATCGAGCAGCGACACCGCGACCTGACGGCGGCCGCGGCGGATGGGATTAGACCGGCCAAGCTAGAGTCGGGGGTCGTGTCCGTGGACGCCGGGGCGTCTCCTGGGCCGAGATTGGCGAAGGTACCAGCTTACTATTGTACCTCATGTGTGTTTTATTTTTTCTTGCAGTAGCAACGATCCGTTGAGATGGCTCCCACCGGCCAGAAGTGCTGTGAGCTAGCTGTGAACGCTGATTTAAACTGATGGAAAATGAAAAAAAATAATGCTCAACGACCGCGCTAATCGACTGACGGATGAAAACACGCCGGGGTTTTGCTGGACAGGCAGGGCGTAGCTTCTCCTGGGTATAATTTGTCTTGTCACGTTGGAAACGTGAAATCGCCGGGTCTTTCCGTGCTTTGCTTTAGTTGCGCTGTGGATTGATTTGAGGTCTTGTTTCCGCTGTGCTTTGTTCCACGCGGTTGCTGCTGTGTCTGTCCTGTGGCTTGTCCCCTCGCCTTTTTTTTTTTTTCCCCGGTTGCGTCTTGATCGATATTTTTACGGTCGTCTTTCTTTGGGATTTTTTTTGTCCTCTTGTCATGTTTGCTCGGTGTTGCTGTTACTGCTTGTTCCCTGTCATGCGGTTTGTGTGCGGCTGTGCAGGTGGTACGAAGATGTCATGTGGGTTAAAATTCTTCACATGGTTGCAGTCAAATTGTGTCCGCTGATGATGACATTCATCGCACGTCAAGCAGTTGTTGCTGCTGCTGTCTTCTTTGTTGATGGCTTTGTTGTGCCTCAACCCAGAGCCGGTGTGTTTCTACCTCTTGATCACACTCGCCGGTCTTCTATTGTGACCCCCCCCTCCCATTCTTTGGCAAAGTTGGAAGGAACGATTGACCATCATCGGTGATCGGTCCTGTGGGAACAATGCTCCGTCCTCTCGAGGACGCGTGGTCAATGGTCTAACCGCTACGGCATGGGAAACATGAGAGTACGCCCCCCCCCCCCCCCCCCCCCTTTCACCTTTTCCCCCCCCTTTTG